AAGTAAAAAAAAGTGATTCTTTTCTAGTTTCAGTTGATTAATGAGATCAGAAGCCAAACTATAATATGGGAAGCTTTTTTTCTGAGTTTGCCTATGAAAAGGAAAAGAAATAGAGAACTACAGATTAAGGGGATTAAAGGTCAAATAAATGTTCTTTAGAGATGAGAGTGTTAAGAAAGCAATTTTAGTTAAATAAAAGGGTGACTATGAATAAATGACTATCTTCCAGAAAAGATGACGCACAAGTAGAAGGAAGGCACTGGAGAAAATGAAGAAAGAAGGTGGGATAATGAAAAGGGAACTGAAAGACAGAAAAGGGGAAAGATGGAGCTCATGATGGATGTACTTCATTTTCCTAAAGTAGAAGGTAGTATCCTCTGCTGAGAGAGAGAAGAGTGAATAGTCAGTAGATCTGAGGAAAAGAAGAAAAGATATGGAATGGCAATATGGAAAGATTTATAGGGTCAACTAGGGAAAATTAAAAATATTAGCTTACTGTAATCGTGGCCCGGTTAAGAGTAACATAAAATATTAGTTGGCACAGTCAGCAGGGTTATATGACTTTCTCTAATGGCAGTCAACAAGCATTTATTATGTGCCTTCTGTGCTACAGGCTGAGGATACAATGATTGGCAAAAACAGTCCCTGCCCTCAAGGAGTTCACAATCTAAAGCAATAACACAACTTGCAAGCAAACAACTAAGTACAAATAAGATAAAACCAGGATAAAACGGAGATAATCACAGGGAGAAAAGCACCAGTATTAAGGGAGACTAGGAAAGGCATGCAAATAGGAGTGAAAAAGGTAAAAAGTTAAACCATAGTTGAGGATTTTTATTGAGGCAAGAGCACCAACAGGCCAAGGGGGCATAAGATTGTGGATAGGGAACAGTATATACAGTATATAGTCTGAAGTAGTTACCTATAAAGTCAAGACTGAGTAGTAAAGAAAATGAGGCCAGGCTGGAAGTAGACCAGAAAAGGAGGGATGGAATGAAGGAGATGGCAGTGAAGACAAAGAATATATTTTGGAAGAGTAAAGTAAAACAAAGGGAAAGATAGGCTGGGAGCAAAAAGAATGATTTTGCAATTCTAGATCAAGTAGAGTTATAGGTGATGATGAAATCAAAGGTATGACCATTCTTGTGGTTGACATGGGGCAAAGGTACAATTCAGGCAAGGCTGAAGATTTAGGAAGACAGGTTGTCTGAGAGGACATCATACATATACAAACAAATCATCAAGTAAGAGAATGGGCTGAGTTAAAGAGGAGACTGAACCAGGGACTTAACTCCTTGAAAAAAGGAGGAAGAAATGAACTAGAGGTTTATAGATGATAACAAAAAGCTATTGATATAGATGAATAGAGTGAACCTTAAAGGAAGATCAATGACAATAAAACAGGAGTCTAGAGGAGGCAGAAAGGAACAAGAATCATGGCTACTCATCCTGGCCCAGTGTGTCAGGGGCATGACATATATACCCAGTTTTGAAGGAAGTGGTCAGAATACAGGAGTCTAAGGACCCAAATTTCCATGAATACAAGAAGATGGAAGGCATATGAGAGGACAAGGCTAAAGACAAAGTAAAATTTGTCAAAGACAGAAAAGAGGTTCCAAAAGGCACAATGGAAAGGGAAAAGAAGAGGACACAGGAGGAATTTTACAGATTTCAGAAAACAAAGTCCTCACAGGCCAAGTAACGTATCCAAAATTACACATCTAGTAAACTGCTTTATCTGATTAAAGCAAAGGTTCTTCACCTAGGATCCATAAACTTGATTTAACATATAGCATTTTGATAAATGACTTTCATAAAATGGGCATCTTTTGCTATCCTGTATATTTATTTTATTCATTAAAAAAAAATTACGTGAAAGGGTCCATAGATGCTATAACAAATCACCAAAGACTGCCATGACAAGTCAACAAGCATTTATTAAGTGCCTGCTATGTGCCAGGCACCATTAATCACTAGGAATACAAAGAAAGGTTGCAGACAGTATCTGATCTCAAGGAGTTCACAATCTAATGGAGAAGGCAGTAAGGTTAAAAAGGACCAAGAAAGGCTTCCTACAGAAGATGGGATTTTAGCTGAGACTTAAAGAAAGCCAGGGAATCAAAGAGGCAAAGGTGAGGAGATAGAGTTCCAGGCATGGGGAACAAACACTGAAAACACTTGGTTTCTGGAGACAGTATATATCACGTTTGAGGAACAGAAAGGAGGACAGTGTCACTGGATCACAAAGTGCAAGGAGAAAAGTTAGGAACTTTAAAGGCAAACAGAGGATTTTATAATTTGATTCTGGAGTACATAAGAGAAAGTCATTGGACTTTACTGAATAGTGGGGGGTGACATGGTCAGACCTGTGCTTAAGGAGGATCAGTTTGACAGCTGAGAGTGGAGGATGGACTGAAGTAGGAAGAGACTTGAGGCACAGAGATTAATTAGCAGGCTATTGCAACAGTCCAGGCACAAAATGATGAAGGCTTAAGGGGATGTTATGATATTCAAAGAGATATTATGAAGGTAGAATCATAGGTAGAAAGAACAGAACTCGGCAAATGATTGGATGGGGGGGAGGGGGAAATGAGAGAAAATGAAGAGTCAAGGATGACACCTGCTGAGAACCTAAGTGAATGGGATGATAGAGTACAGGAGACATTTTTTCTGACTCTCCTCCATGCCTGGAATTCTCTGCCTCCTCCTGTTCCACGTACTGACCTCCTACTGGCTTCCTTTAAGTTGCAAATAAAATCTTATCTTTTATTTTTACTACAAAACCTATCTTAATTCTAGTGCCTTCCAGTTCCCTTTACATAGCTTGCTTTGTATACATTTGACTTCCCCATTAGACAGTAAGCTATTTAAAGAGAGTTAACTATCTTTTGTCTCTTTCTTAGTCCACAGTATTTAGTACAGTGCCAAGCACAAAACACAATAAGCTCTCAATAAATGTTTATTAAATTATTTATTATTGATAAAATGTGTTAATTGATAAAAGATGCCCACTGAACATCCAGTTCAACACAAAAAAAGGTTAAGAACCACTGGATTAAAGTAATAATAATAATGACCTGATAATTTTATAGTCTCTGAAAGCACTTTACAAACATTATCTCATTTGAGCCTCACGACAGCCTTATGACAAAGAGAAAACAGGTATTATTATGATCACTGACAAATAAACCAGCCTCTCATTTGGTTTTCAAATTGTCCTCTTAAACTACATAACTCTAGTACACTCACCCGATGGCCCTCTTTAAAATCTAGCATAAAAATACATTTTTAAAAAGATTTTATTTTCAATATAACTTTGTGGTTTTATAGAGCACTATGAAAACACATGAAAATCAGTATCAACACAATAATCTTAATAAAGTACATCAAAGTATTACCCCTATTGCACAGTTAAAGAAGCTAACTGGGTAAAATTGTTAAGGAAATTGCCCAAGACTAAATATATGGCAAAGATGAATACAGAATTCAGGTTTTTTAAATACTGGGCTTGTAGTCCCTCATACTGAAATAGCTAACAATATCCAGGATTTCCTTCCTCTATTGCTATTTATTATTTTAATGAGCTCAAGAGGATAAATTACCAATAAAACAAATGACCTTTACATATCATCTTCCATAGTTTCATTTAATATTAGTAATAATTCTGAGAAGGTACATTTCACAGATCAGTAAATCAAGGCTCAGGAAGGGACTTGTCCATGGTCCTACAACTTATGTCAGGTATAGGATTTCCAACCCAGGTCTCACTGATTTTGTATCCAACTTTTTTTCACCAGTACATCATGCTGCCTCCCTCCTTACCAAGTAATGTCTAAAAGATTATATTCGACCCATAAATTTCAAACTAGAAGGGCCCTTAAGGGCGACCTAGTCAAATCCCACTCGTTCTATAAGAGAAACTGAGACCCAGTGAGGTTGTGATTTACTCAGTCATATAAATAAGTGTCAGAGGCAGAATATGAACCCAGGTCCTTAGCTCCAAGGCCAATGTCTTTCCACTGTACCACACTTGCTTCCATAGTGTGGGAGATATGCTTAAAAACCTGAAGGATACACCTCTTCCTTTCATTCTACAAAGGAAGACAGAAGAATTTCGTTTGGTTCTATGTAGTAGGTATAATAAAATAGCTTCAATGGCAAGGATTTCTGGAATATTGGAGAAGCTGACGTTTATACAAATGAGTCAGAATGTTCGACAGGAAAAACCAGATTAAAGTGTGTGCATTGTGGCTAGTGGGAGCAATCTACAGATATACTATTGACAGAAATGACAGCAACCAGGGCCACTTCTAGCACCGTCATGAACCCAGCCCCCCTCTTCCTCAGCGCAGGGCTCGGCCACAGAAGGATGCTCATTGGGGAGAAAACAGAAAGGTACCCACGCTCTGCGGCGGCATCCGCAGAGGCTGCTTGACTGCTCCAGGCAGGAGGAGCCTGCACAACAGGGCTCAGACCAGGTCCCCGGGGGTGGAAAGGGGAGGAGGGGGTGCCTGAAAGCACGAACCCCAAACGAAGAGGACCCCACGTTCTCAGAGCTCGGCCCCCTGGGTGGGTGTGGGGTGTGCGGGGACGGAGGGGGGGGAAGGGAAGATGGGGGGGAAGGGAAGATGGGGGAGGGGGCTTCCTCCAGCTGTGTCCAAGCTCCCCCCCTCCCAGAACAGCGCCCGCCCCCGCCCTCGCCCCCGCCCATCTGCAGCTCTTACCCCCCTCCCTCCTGCGGCAGACAGCCCGCGGAGAAACTCAGGAAGAGGCTGCGGCTACTGCCGCTGACGCTCTAACAGACTGCGGGACTGGCCCTGGAGGCGCGGAGGGAGAGGGGCTGGACTTGAGTCCAAGGCTGAGAGGGGGATGGGAGGGAGCGAGATCCCCTCTTCATCCTCCCCGCCCCTCCCCCTCCTTCATCCCTCACCTACCCTCGCCCGCCCCGCCCCGCCCCGGCCTCATGATTCCCAAGGCAGAGGGGCCAGCGCTGCGCTCACCTCGGGGCCGCGGCAGCCTCCACTGCTTCCAGACATGTCACCAGCCCCGACGACGACCAACGGCTCCCGCGGAGCGCCCCCACCCGCCCACCTTCCTTCCCTCCCCCCCTCCCTCCCCGCCCCCGTGGCCCGCCCCCGAGCCGCGCACCGGCTTCCGCGGTAGCAGCTCTAGCGCTCGGCTCCGCCTACCGTGCCTTCCGCCCCGCCCCAAAGCTGTCGCTCAATCAACTCTCGCGAGAGGGAGAAGATCAGCTCTCGCGAGATGCCGCATAAGGAGGCGGGGCTAAAGAAAATCCTTTGGATAAAAAGGAGAAAATAGGACTTCAGGCGGCCTCCAGCCGTGCGGGTCTGTCACGTGACAACGATACTGTCTTCCCATTGGCCTGAGGGATAGCTGGGCTGCAGGGGCTTTCAACCATTGTGTTCTTCAGCTGCATTATGCTCTTTTCGAAAGGCCTGCTGGGTGTTTGTGGGTGACTGCAACCTCCAGGCCCAGGCCTTCAAGGGAGTTCCTTTTTCCAGTCAAATAATCATTAAGCTTTTATTAAGTGCATATTATGTGGCAGGCACTGTAGTACGCTGCCCTCAATTCAATTCAATAAACATTTTTTAAGAGCCTACTATGTGCTGGGCACTGTACCAAACAATGGGAGAGTACATTCAACTGAGGGGATACAACATGAAAAGTGACTGCAGAATACATACAAGATAAACACAAAGAGTTGGGGTTGGGGGTAGTATTGACAACTGGGGCAATCAAGAAAGGTTTCTCAAAAGAGGCACCCTTGATAGAAATGATGGTGTTAGGAAGGAGGGTGAGTTTGGCAGGAAAGACGGATTCCATTTTGGACATACTAAATTTGAGATGCCCATGGGACGTCCATGCAGAGATGTCCAAGCAAGCAACTGCACGTTCAGAACTGGAGCTCAGGAGAGAGATCAGGGTTGGCTGCATAGACTTGGAAACATCTACATACAGGTGGTCATTGAATCCTTGGGAACTAACCAAAGTAGTGAGGGAATAGCGAAGGCTCATGACAGAGCCCTAGGGGTAGACTCCCACAAAGGGGCTGAAACATAAATAATGATCCTGCAAAGGAGATTGAAAGTTCTGTTAGACTGGTAGAAAGAGAATCAATTGATCAATAAGCATTTATTAAACTCCTGCTATGTGCCAAGTACTGTACTGGGTAATGATACGAAGAAAAAAATGAAGCTGACTTTGCCTTCAAGAAACTTATATTCTATGTGGAGGTCGAGTAGAGACATGTATGTGTAGGTATATTCAGAACAAATAGAAAATAAATACAGAATGGTTTGAGGAGAGATGGCACCAATCCTCTCATTTTACATTGAGGAAACTGAGAACCATGAGAAAGTAAGCAACTTGCCCATAGCAGCTCAGTCACTTGACATAGGCAGATGTTGGACCTCTTGTCCTCTTACTCCAAAGCCAAGTTCTTTTTTTCTTACATCAAACCTAAACTTCCCTCTGCAGCTTCTACTTATGAGTCCTGGTTCTGCCCTCTGGGGCCAAACAGAATGAGTCTAATCTTCCTTCCACATGACAGATGACCTTTCAGATACTTGAAGATAGTTGTCATGTCTCTCCACAGGTTCTTTCATGCCCGTTTCCTTCAAGTGACCCGTGTTTATCATGTCTTCAAAGTCCTTTATCATTCTGATTGCCTCATTATTACCAGATTATCATTCTGGGTTATCACCCTGGTACATTCTCCATTTTATCAATGTCCTTCCTGAAATTATCATTTAGTCCAGGAGTTCTTAACCTTTTCTTGATGCCTGGACCCCTGTGGCAGTCTGGTGAAACCTATAAACCACTTCTCAGGATGATATTTTCAAATGCATATAATAAAAACATCAGGTTAAAAAGAAAACCAATTATGCTGAAATAGTTATCAAAACTTTTTAAACCATGTTCATGAATCCCAAATTAAGAACTTATAAATTCTAGTTCAACCATCTTACCCTATAAAGGAGGAAATGAAGCTCAGAGAACCTGAGAAACAAGGTCAAAAGATCACATAACTATTCAGTGGCACGGACAGGATTTCAATCCAAACTCCTTATCTCCCAGCTACCTGGTTTTTTCTACTTCACCAAATTGTCTTATAGTCTGCAAACAACCCCATGAAGCCTGTCGAGGAAGACTTGGGATTTTTGGTCCTTTATTTTTACCTTAAAATTACACCACATAGATTCAATTCAATTCAACAAGTATAAATTAAATCCCTACTATGTGCTAAGTGCCAGTGACGCAAAGATAAAAGTGTAATGATCCCTGCCTTCAAAGAACTCACATTCACTGGGGAGAAACAACATATCCACAGATAAGCAAATAGGAAATGTATACAAAATAATTTTTAGAGGGTGGAGAAAGCACTAACAACTAGTAGAATAAAGAAAGAATAAGGGTCTGTACAAAGGCATGGAAGCAGGAGATAGAGAACAGCAAAAAGGCCAGTTTGACTGGTACATTTTCCTTTGTCCAGGTCAGGAGTGGTAGAAAAGCTGTATGACATTATCCCTTGGCTTATCTTCTTAAGTGATCAAAGAAACCAGAAAAGGAAATGGGAGAGGGAGTGAAGGAATAGGGAGTTATAATTGTTAAAACCCTAACTTTAGCTATGGTTGTTTGCTTATGATCAAGGGAGATCCCAGACAATATTGTGAACAAGAGAAATTAATCTTGGGCTTTGTCCCTCCTAGTTGTTCAGCACAGAGCTATTCTGTGTCTTAACTCTCTCTCTAAAGAATTAGCTGGTAAGTAGTTGTTTGAATTTTAAAAGGTAATTCTTTAAAACCCCAAATCCTTCAGGACCTTAAGGGGATAAACCAAAGATGATAGAACTCTTGAACTAGGAAAATGGAGTAAGTAAAACAACTATCTACATATGTATGTATAGCCATCTATATGTAGCTATCTACCAATCTAAGTATTGTCTATCTACTGTCTCTCTACTATCTCTCACATACCTATAGCCACCTACCATCTATGTAAATATATCTACATATGTAAATACATATGATCTATCTATATAAATATCAATGTATTATCTATCTAAATATCTATTATCTATCTGCTGTGTATTATCAATCTATCTACTATCTTTCTATCTACTATTTATCAATCTACTGTCTACCTATCTATTTATCTATATCTATTCTATATCTATCTAAAATCTATTATGTATCTACTATCTGTCTATCAATCTATTATCTCCCTATTACCCATCTATCTATGTGTCTGTCTCTCTATTTGGGTAGACCTGCTCTATGTCTTTCAAATTACACCACACCACACCACACCACACCACATCACATCACAAGTTCTGCTTACTTTTAGGGCTAAGTCTTGTTCAAGGGGGCTCTTAACAGCCTGAATAGGAGGCAGGCACAGCATAGTGTGAAGGAAGCAGAGAGAGGAAGTAAAAGGAAAAGAACCACCCAGAGCCAAGGGAAGGTGCCAAATGAAATTGAACACGGCAGCTGAGGATCTTTAAAAAAGATTAGAGTAGATGCCAGGAATTCTTTTCTAGGAAAGAAAGCTTGTCCCTCTCAGGGTGGTGGAAACGGAAGGGCTACCACCTGTTCTGAGGCCTATCACCTTCCTCATCAGATGTTCTGGACTAACATACGCAGTTAGTAAATCAAGGAATGATTCATATATTCCTAGTCAGGGCTTTATTAAGAGGCAGACAGATAATACCTCAAAGAGGAAGAGAAGAGCTGAGGGAAAACTTTATGGTCTATATAAGAAACTGGCCATGACACCTTTTAAAAAATTTAAAGCAAATGAATGGTAAAGAATGAATATAAGACTGACAGAGATATAACATGGCATAATGAATAGGAAGCTAGCCTTGAGTTTTAGTCCTGAGTCTGACATCCATTGGTTGTGTGACCCTGGGCAAATCAATTAACCTCTCAATTCTAGGATGCGTTCTAAGATGCAGAACAGTTGGTGATCTACATTCGTAGAGGAAGTTCTCTTCATTAGGAGATATCAAAATAACGAAATCACAGACTCAGACCCCCCCCCCCAAAAGAGTAAAAATGTACTTTTTGGGAAGTAAAACACTAAGATAATAAGGTTATTTTAATAACTTCTAGAGTATGAACAATTTAGCGATAAAACTTTAAAAATGCTAAGTGGGCAAGTTCTTATATGTTTTACAATATTCATAATAATTTAATAGAATGTCCTTAAAAAAAAAAACAGTAGTTTGCTTTGGTGACCTTAGAATTAGTAGAACTTGGGCCCTGTGTTTTAATAGTTCTTTCACTCTTATTGTTAAGATAATGGAGTCCCAGAATCTCAAAGCTGTAGGGGACCTCAGAAACCATCTGGTACTTGAGTAAAAATCTACTCTACAAAATTATCAACAAGTGGTCATTCAGCCTTTGCTTGAAGACCTCCAATGAGGGAGGTCTATCCTACTCCCTCTCAAGACAGCCCATTCTTCTTTTAGAAAATTCAGATTATTAGGAAGCTTCTCCTCATATCGATCCTCAATTTGCCTCTTTACAAATTCCATTGAGTACTCTTGGTTGTGCCCCCTGAAGGCCAGGCACAAGCCTAATCCTTCTGCCATATGATAATCCTTCAAATACTTAGAGACAATTACCTAATAGGTCTTTTCTTCTCCCAGCTAAATATCCCTATATTTTTCAATTGATCCTCATATGGCATGATTTTGAAGGCCTTCAATATCCTGGGTACTCTCCTATGGACACTCTCCAAAGTTATCAACGATCTTCCTAAACTATGATTTCTAGAATTAAAGGCAATCCTCTATATAGTAGTATATCAGTATAGCAAGGAAACAGTACAGCAAAATTGTTAACCCCCTAAGCCTAGACCTTGTGACTCTCAAGACAGCCTAACTTGTTAATTGTTGACTGTATATCACAGTATTAACTCATGTTGACTTGGTAGTCCACTAAACTACTGTCTAAAAACATCTAACCCATTCTTGTATTTGTGAAGTTGATTTCTTTAAAGCCAAACATACATTTATCTCTACTACATTTCATCTTATTATACTATTATTATAC